GCTGTGCGCACCACTCCAAAGGAAGATAATCTGAAAAATTGCCACGAAGCATACCTAAGTTTTTAGACGAGCTAACATTTGAGAATTTTTCTCATGCACCGGCACCATATAAAATGTTCTTTACAAAAAGAAATGCCAGAAATTTTCCAATCCATTCAAGTTTAAATTTACGTGGACCAATAAGCAAATTATAAAATATTTTTCTTAAAATCGAGCACAAAAAATCCATGTGGAGTTAAGACATATTTTCTATAGAAGATTCATTGCAGCCAGATTTAGTGAATTTAGTGTGAAAAAAAAGAATAATTTTTGTTTATTGCGAAGGTGTGATGGGGGACTATCTAAAAATGTGTTAACCATGGAGGAAAAATGTTTTTCGTGGTCACAATCCTTTTAAGAAATATTTATCAATTTCAATTTTCAGGCGGCGGCACTTTCTACCACGCCTTATTTGGGCTAGAGCCCTTTATAAGGATTGAGAAGTTGTGAGTTACTATAATGAACTGGCTATTTCGGTGCTTTGTTGAAAAAACTTTTAATGTTTAATCGTTTTAATGTAATCAACTTCCTTGGGATCATGCCTGGGCAGATTGATGGAAGAAATGTGTGTGAGTTTGCGGCAGCCCTGCCAGTGTTTGGGAAATAATTTTTCCATGGATTTTGACCTCTGGATTTTCATAGAAATTTATTTTTGATGGGGAAACAATAAGCAGCTAGATTACTAATTAAACAGTGACTGTTAAAGAATAGTGGCTGCAAAAAAAAAAAAAAAAAAAAAAAAAGAATGTGAAAGACACCAAACTGTGGCAATTCTCAGAAGCTACTTTATGTAACGTAGGTTTACTTTATGTGTTGAAAAAAAAAAAGAACTGAATGTTGAAACATAGTAAGTCCAAGTGTATCTAACAGTAGTCATACAGCTAATCGTATTAGGAGGAAGATCAAAAATAGTGAAGATCGGTATATTTATAAAAAATACTTGAAGATACCTTATTCTATGTTGTCAGTGTGGATATTGTTACTGATAAAATAGATTAAAATTATTAGACACTACGCATAAAAAAAAGAATGTATGTAACATGAAGGAATTAAGTGTTTTGTGCGAATTTGCTATTATAAAATGTATTAATGGTTTTACTTGGACAGATTTTCAGAAAATATTTCTCTTTCAAATGATGTTGGAGATAACACTGAATTTTCAAACATCTTAAAAAACAGATCTTGAAGAAGCCACAACTAAAACAACAAAACAACCAACGCCCCCCCCCCCACCGCACACCACCACCACCACCACCACCACCAAATGTTTTGCCAAAAACTGATGTTATATACTAATTTCTCACTCTGTGACAACATGAAAAATTCAATCATCACTGAAAGCGAATAAAATTTAATAATGAGGTGCAAGGAAACCTACTAAAATGGCCACTTCAATTAAGCAGTCACTTCCATTGACAGCTATTATTTTGAAGGACTAATTGATTTTTCTCTAAGGTATGTGTAAAAATTCTCTCATTGAGTGGCCACCTGACCCCATAGCCAGCAGCTAGGCGCATTCTGTAGTTTGACTTCTGTACTAGAATAAGAAGCTAAAGAGAGGTAGATATACTGTTGATTTAATATCTTCCTGCAATGGATTACCTAAAACAGAGAAGAGAGTGCACTCTTCTGACAAGGTTTAATATCTGTTTTAAGGTTAAAAGCAGATGATTTTCATGAAATGTCTCTGAAGTATTAATGTGTTCTCTTCATGTACACTGGAGCTTCCTCATTGAGTTTGCTCACCTCCTTCTTCCGTTCTGTGGAAACCTATTAATGGCCAGTGGATTATGCTGCGTATACAAAACCACTCTGATGGGTTGCTAACTATGTATTTCATGGGACAGCCCTGCCTACAGAAGAATTACATTTCAAACTCGAGTTTACTTGTGAGTTTGGTTTGATGGGTAGGGAGAGTGAGTTTCACGAGGTCATGGATGTATCACACTAGCCGTGACAAGTTATGTGATCCAGAATTAAAGAAAAGTTTCATTGAAAAGATGTACTGATATTTTCAAGTGTCATAGGACACAGATTTAATTACATTACAAGAACAGAGCACATTTTTGTGAAGTTTTGAAACTTAAGCAGCTAAAGAAAGATGTAAACTTTTCTATATAAACAAGGCATTTTTTTAAATGGTAAAATCTATGCAGTATCACATGTGCCTGTGTCTAATTTAAGTATTTTTTTTTAAGTTGTATTTTAAAGTGTATGGTAATTAAAATGATGTTACTGAAATCAATTTTTTTTAAAGCAATTAGCATGATTAGACCTGATCTTTGCTTTCTATAAACTCTAAACTTGCCAACTTTTAACAGCAAATATTTGCTGGAACCATTAGTGGCTGCTTAAAACAGGTTTCACTGTATTTTGAATGTCTTCCTTCCAAGGTGTAGCAGACAGTGGCCTTTATAGTTTTGTATGACCATATTATGCTGCCATAAGTATCTTAAAAAGAAACTATCTGAAAAATATCTTAAAAAAAGAGAAAGAAGAAAAAAAGTTAACTGAATATGTTATCTGAAACTTTAATACTGTACTCAATTACTATTTGATACCCTCAATTTTAATGGAAATTTACTTTGTGGAATTTGAAATGTCTATAGATAAAGTTATTCCTACAACAAGTTTAGAGAATGATGAAATGGATAAAAATATAAAAAGTTTTGCGTGAGTAATTAAGTGATTGATTGCTGTTAATCCTATGTTGCGAATTAGTAACTACATATTGTAAGTAGGATATCTCGTAAGTTATGATAAGCATTTGTTAACATTTAGGGAAATAAGTATACATGAACAAAATGCCAGAAAAATTTGTTTAAATTAGTGAAGTTAAATTTTTTACTACAATATAATGCATTTTTAAATCAATGGATTTTTCAGTTAGCATCCTGAGTTTGTTTTTCATCGTTTTTATTAAAGTTTACCCTTTCTACCAATTACTTCATTTCTCTATATCATTTTGCAAAGTGTACTTTCCATTATTTACTTCATGAATCACTTTCTAGTGCTCTTTCTTAATATCTTTTTTCATTATTTGTTTCCAAATATTCTTTATCAATTTCACATGTGTTTGAAATGGAGCCTCTTCATGCATACATATTCTTCTTTACCAAAATGCATACCTTTTTTTTTCTCTCGTCTCATCTATTCCCTTTAACACATCATTGATTTTCTCCTATCCTACTTCAAGGATTTGTAGCTTCAAGTACGTTTTATTTTTTTCTTCTCTCTCTTCACTGTCAAATGTAATATTTTATATTGTACAAAAGTTTGTAGGTCTGTTGCTATTTTGGGCTATTACCTTTTAAACTCTCACATAAAAATTTAGTGTTGGTAATAATTATGTCGCAATTACTTGCTAGAGTTCAATGTTAATATATAATCAATAAGATCTCTTGACATTTTGTGTAGTTGTCAGAATAAGTACTGTTGTGTTAATACAAACGTGCTGTTGATCCAATTATATTTAGACTTGTACAATTTCCAAATTTTACTGTTGGGTAATATGTTTAATGTGGAGAGTATTCAGTTTCTGACTGATGCAGTGTGTATTTTAAATATCTATATTTGTTCTGTTTATGAAATATATTTGTTAATTTTATGTAACCTTTTGATTTGTGAGGAGTTTATTAAATTTGAGTAATGAATGAAATATTTCTCCTAATTTTAAACATAATAATTTTTATTTTTTAGCAATGAATATTAATAATGTGTTGGGTATTTCAGTGATAACTAAAATTGTGATTTACATAAATATTTTTGGCTGGTTTTTATTTTTAAATACAAATTTAAAAATAAGTTTAAATTTTTAAAAAACTTCAAATAAAATAATAGTAATGCGTTTTGTGGAAGAAAAAGAAATTAAAAATTTTATGAATACACAGAAGTGCCCAATGAGCCACTAAACTTTTATATTATGGTAAAATACTAATTGCGTTACCACAATAATTCATTGCTCTGCAATTATATCTCTTCTTTTTAAATACCTGTAACACTGTTGGAAATAATAAAATATGTCAAGTCTAACCTTGTGCAAATTTATAGTAAAGTGAAAAATCTAGACAAAATTATTTTCTTCTTCACTTGGTTGAAAATAAAGTTGTGTTAATGGGTGCTATGTATCTCTCCATCTATGCCATTTGATATTTCAATATTTTAATGTGATAACCTTCTTTGCAATGATAGTTATTTTTGTGAATGTTTCATAAATAATTTCAGGGTTTGTTAAGAAAAATGGAGGCCATTTTATATCCAACCCTTGCATCAGCTAGGATAATTGTGGCTTGTGAATCTAATATTCCCAACCCAATGCTACATTCAACATGGCACAACAGTGGTACTGGTTCTCATCCACATCAAGTACAGAAGATAAATAGCAAAGAATGATTAAGTGTAATCATACTCTTGAATAGGTACCACTTGACTATTTTCTATGTACACACTTCACAAAATCACACTCAGTCACTGAATTACAAGCAACAGCATTAAATATTTGAAGGATTAACTTTAGATCTGAATCGTCAAATTATTAGTCACACTATAGTTTTCACCCCATTTTGGAGATATGTATTAAGTGTCACATGATCTGCCGGTTCTCCATTACGTGGTTGAAAAGTACTTATCACTTTCCAAGATGATTCTCAAGAATTTCAATGGAGTTTTATAGTGGTGAATCAGTTATGAGTATGGTAACTCACACATGTTCAGAGGGATAGATTCATTCACAACCTCAAGATGAATGGTTTCTTTTATATCTATTTTTGCCTGAGCAATTGATTTATTTGATGTAATGAAAGCTCTTTTTATTTTGTCTACTTTAGTGTGTGTTTTTAAACATACAATCAAAATACGTATGCAACTTTGTCCTTTGCTTTCTTAAACTGAACAT